ACCAAAAAATAAATAAATAAATAAATAAAACAGAACCTTCCAATAGCTTCTCTTCTCAGAGTAAGAATAAAAGCCAAAGTCCTAACAACTGTGACCCTCCATGGTTGGCTCTTTATTACCTCTCTGAATTTATCTTCTGCTATGCTTCCCGCTTCATTCTCTCTGCTCCAGTCCCACCTGCCTTCCTGCTGTTCCTCAAGCACACCTAGCAGGCTCTCTCTTTAAAACCTTTGCCTTGGTATTTATTTGCTCTTGTCCAGTTAGCAACATAACTTGCTCTTACATTCCTGTTAGTTCTTTGCTCATAAGTCATCTTTTTATGACTCCTCTCCCTAGCTCCCCTAATATTTCAGTAACCCTCCCCTAAAAATATTTCTGATCCATGTTCTCTGCTGATTTCCTTTCCTGGCACTTTTCACAACAGGACACTTTATATATTTTCTTATTTATCTGTGTAGAGTTTATTATCTGTCTCTCTCTAAGGTATTTTCTGACACCAACCAATTCTCCAACACCAGCTGGGTATACAACAACTCAAATCTTTTTTATTTTTCTTTTGAGACAGAGTCTGGCTCTGTCACCAGCTAGAGTGCAGTGGGGTCACCATAGCTGACTGCAACCTAAAACTCCTGGACTCAAGCAAGTCTCCCCCTTCACCTCCCAGAGTGCTAGGATTACAGGTGTGCGCCACCACGCCTGGTCCAAAAATGAATATTTTTCATTAGACCACACTCTCCCACTAGAATGTAAGTAAGCTCCAAGTGGCAAGGAATTTTTTTCTCTATTTTATTTTCTAGTTTCTCTATTTTATTCTCAATACTGTATCCCAGTATATCAACACTGGTATATCACAGTATAACAACAGTGTACATAGTAGGTGCTAAATAAATATTTGTTGAGTAAATGAATAAATTAAATGGGTTCTTATTATATAACAGGTTTTGTACTACATGCCTTATTTATAGTATGTCATTTAAACCTCATAACAGCAATAATTAGTAACAATCATGGTTTGAATGTCTGTCCCCTCCAAAACTCATGTTGAAATTAAGTTGTTATTGTAAAAGTATTAAGCAATGGAACCTTTAAGAGGTGTTTAGGTCATGAGGGCTTCCCCCTCACAAATGGACTAATGCCATTATCGAGAGATACTTCCCATTTAATAGACGAAGAAAACAAGGATTTTGTTTTGTTTTGTTTTGTTTTTTGAGACAGAGGCTGGTTCTGTTGCCCGGGCTAGAGTGCCGTCAGCCTAGCTCACGGCAACCTCAAACTCCTGGGCTCAAGCGATCCTTCTGCCTCAGCCTCCCGGGTAGCTGGGACTACAAGCATGTGCCACCATGCCT